TTTAATCTCTAATAAAGCATCGCATGGTAGATTATAAAAAGTGAGGCTCTCCATATAATATTTTTCATTTAACTATATATGATACAGCGTTAAGTATGTTGGGATATAAACATTTAATCAACATTTTAATTTTATTTCTGAGCATATTTAGAAATAATCATAATTCACTTTTTCGAAATATTATTAAAAATTATTCTAACATATATGAATAATAAATAGATATTATTTTAAGTGGAAGACCTTTATTACCGTCAAACGTAGCTTAAATAATATCTTTCCTGTAGCTTAAATAAGTTATAACACCTATGAAGCTAATACTTTCTATTGACGTAATTCGGCATCCTAGTTAAATTTTATTAAAATTTATAACTATTTTTATTTTTTGTCTTAATTTATATATTTTGTTTTTTATTCAAAATTCATAATCAATTTTAATGTCACTTTTATGATGATATTTCCTTTGGCAATGACTTAAAAGCATGATCAAAGTGTCCAAATCCAAAGTGAAAATATATTCAGACTTAATAATCTTTAGACTTACTGAAGGTGAAAATTAAAATTGAAATTAAATGAAAGAATAAAAAAGATAGTGCGTTTATGAATTTCAATTTCGTTCAATAAATGTTAAAATAAAAAAAAATTGACAACGTACCAACGCAGTGAAAGTTTATTGAAAAGTAGTAAAATGTCGTAAATTGAATAAAGAATTGTTGAATGTGGGAGCGACGCTCTAGGCTAAGACTTGTCAATTAGACTAGCACTCACTTAAAGATGGAGGATAAAAACAAAAATTATTAAGTTAACAGTAATTTAATTATAAGCATATACTTATAATGAAGAATATTTACTTCAATAATGTTACAACAATTTACAACAATAAATGCAGTTGAGGATATGAAGAACAGTTAATTTAGATACGAAAGTTTAAAGGAAGATGTGGGCATTTGAAAGGAAATGTTAAAAACAAAGAAAGCATTTGAAGAAGCATTTGAAGAAAGAAATAATCAGGCTTGATTAAGGTACGCAGTCACGATATTTTCAAACCATATTATTTTTTAATAATCCAGCATAAATTTAGAGGGCTCGAATTTAAAGTTTCAGACATGCCACCATACGATTATAATATTCTATTAATTTTTTACATCTGTTTTGACGAAAGAAACTGAACTCTTAATATATACTATTGTTTTCAATAGAGGGGTATTTCAAACAGTATTAAATTACGACTATAAAATTTTATTATTTTATTAAATAATTGAATTATCATTTTCTTTAATCTCTTCTTCAACCACGAAAATAATTTGTCAAAATTTTTACCAAATATATCCCAAAAGTCGAATAAGAACGAAATAAGAGGTTTGTCTCAATATTATAAAAGATCATGGAATAAAAAGAACAGGATGATTTAATCATAAATTATAAAATTTTTATATTAATTTGTTCTTTTTTTTTTAAATACGGGCTTATTAGTCATTACGGGCTGATTATAGTATATTAATTTGTATTTAACTTAACGATTTTTTTTTCAAAGCATTAGGTTAGGTTAAGTTATTGCGACAATCGGTTTAGTTGATCAACTTAGTTAGAACCTATTAGTCCATTGTGGTACCCACGGTACTCCCTTTTACAAATAAGGCAAATTTATTTTTGCATATTTAAATTTTTAATTTTAAAATCAATTATTATTAACATATAAGTATTCACCTACAAATTAGAAGAAATTTGTCCTTTGGGTAGTTATGGGCTCGAAATGTTTTTCATTGATATATTTTTTTGCTGTTAAAAAACGAAAAATATGGAACCAAAAGTCTAATTTCAGAGCTTTCAATGTTTTACAAAGTCATGTTTACATAACTGAAAATTTAATTACTAGAAACTCCATTATATATTTAACTTGATGCATTCATAGAAAATATAATTATAATTAAACTACGGGAAATTCTATACTACTATTCGTACTATAGTGCTACGAAAAATTTCACTATAGAAAATGTAAGTCTCGTCTTTGGAAAAAAATATTTTTTATTATTTATAAACTAGTGTTATCATTGTAAAAAAATAAAGTAATCTATATTAAAACAATACAGTAATTAAAATCATGATTCGAAGACAATATATTTTAAATTATACAAATAAACTCTCTAAGAGTCAACAAAAAATTCTAGAGACTATAGACTCACTTCAGAGCTTCACTTGAAGAGTAAACCGCATTTTATGACTTAGGAATATGTTATAGTTAGCTTCGTTAGGAATAAAATTAGCCTTAATTCTGTAATTCTGTAATTAATTCTGTAATAATTAATTCTGGCAATACAATATTACAATAAAATATATTCTTTTGTTGCATCTTTATAGTGTGCTATTAATACTATTAATTATACTATATTATTAAATCTATATAAAATAATATTTTATAAAATCAATAAGTAATATTAGTGAAAGTATTATAGTTTCTGAATTCCACATCAAAAAAAAGCTAATTACTTCACAAAAATAAGAAAAAATTGATCAATTAAAATAACTTTAACGATAGTATAAATAATTTTGTATTCATAATTTTTGTAATCTTAATATGATTTTATTTTGCATATCATATAGCATCATCTATATGTCATTTCAACTATTTGGTCTAATGAAAAACAAAAATATTTTTAATTATTTGCAGATATAAATATTTTAATAATGTAAAATCAGTTCCACAAAAAATATATCTCATGCAAAAAATATTGAAAGTGTAACAATTCACATTGTTTACACTATTTCATGGTCCATTGTAACGAAATTAGGATGTGAGATGAAAAAAAAAAATAAATCATTTTTGGTCATACATAAATTTGCCATAATTTGCAAACAATGCCTTTTACTTAAAACTTTTG